CCCCAAAACCCCAAAACCCCAAAACCCCATAACGAAATTCGAGAAGAGCAAATGAGAATAATTAATGTTAAATTAAGTATAGAGATGAGATTGATCAATTAAATATCAATTAAATATCTTTTCTTCACCAGGTTTACATAGGACTATACAAGTTATTCCCTTTAGTTTTTTATAGTTAACAACCATCTTTGGATTTAGAGGGTCTAGTTCTTTCGCTTTCTCAAAATCATCAGCAGCTTCTGAGTATTTCTGGAAAACATAAAATTAAATCAAAATAATACCTTTAAGGCTTTGAAAGAAAAAGCTCGTCTGAAATGAGCATGAGCATTTTTCGGGTTCTTCTTAATCACCATACTGAAATCTTCAACTGCTTTTTCATGGTCTTCAATCATTTGATAAGCTTTAGCTCTCTCGTGAATATATCTTATATCGCTTGGGATCATTTCAATACACTATTGCAACATATTAATAGTCTATTTCTTACCCTACTATATGGATAGATTGATTTTTCGAATTTCTCAAGATTGCAATAAGCAAGTCCAATATGATAGTATATATCAGCTTCGTAGGTCAAGAATGGTTTGTTAATAAGTGCTTTCTTTAAGGTTTTGATGCACTTTTTGTATTTATTGAATGCATAATAAGAGAGACCAAGCTTGTAAAGAACCTGTGGATCATTTTCGTTTACTTTCAAAGCCATGTTGAGATCATTTATTGATTCAGTAAACATGTTTAAGTCATAGTAGCACTAAGCTCTGTTCATTAAGAAACTGATGTTTGAGGGATCTTTCTCAATAGCTATATTAAAGAATGAAATGGCTTGATCATAGTCTTTAAGGGCATGATAGCAGCAACCTTAACCATCATAAACTCCAGGATTCTCCTAGTTTGTATCAAGTTCTAAACTAGTTTTGAAATCTTCAATTGCTTCATGGAATCTTCTTGATTTTAATTTCGATACTCCTCTTCGATAATAAGCCTCTGAGAAATTATTATCAAGTTTAATAGCTTGATTAAAATCATTTACAGCGAACTGGTGGTTTCCCATGTCCTGATAAACAAGACCTCTAGCTATATATACAGTCTTGTCTTCTGGCAATTTCTAAAGCACATTAGAAAAACACTTGAGAGATTTATGGAATTAGTTAGTTCTATGATACATAAGACCTAAATGGAATCTACTTGAAATGAAGTTTTCTGATAGAGCTAAAGCTGATTTATACATTTCTATGGATTTTTCTTGAAGAAATAGGACATGATCACTGTTGCCATTCTTTTTAATTTCTTCTTGAGACTTTCCTTCAAAAGCAAGACCTTTACTGTGCCAGAATTTGGGATTATTCGAGGCATTTTTAATTGCAATATCATAATCATGATGAGCGTTATCATAGTCACCTTAATTCAAAAATACATTGCCTCTATTGAAGTAGAAAAATGGATCATCAGGATTTCTTTGGATAGCATCATCATAATCCTTCTTAGCTTCTTCTAGCTTTCCAATATGATAAAATGCTAAACCTCTATTATTATAATGGAAAGAATGAGGCTCAATTGAGATGGCTTTAGAAAACTCGTTCAAAGCTTCTTCAAAGTCTTCTTTCTCAAAATATGATAAACCAAGGTTATTATGAGCACTCGCCTTATCATTTCTCATCTCGACTGCTTTTTTAAGATCATCTATGGATTACTCTAATTTCCCAAGTCTTCTAAGACAGATGCCCTTATTGAATCTCGCTTGATAAATGTAATTTTGATCACTTAGGTTTTCTATAGCTCTATTATAATCATCAATCGCCTCTTCTAATTTTTCCAATTTTGCTTTTACCAAAGCTCTATTATAGTAATAGTTTCCATTGGTTGGATCCCTCTTTACGGCTATCTCATAATGCTTTAGTGCTTCATCTAGCTAACCAAGCTCTTAATGACACTAGCCGGCAAAGTCTATCAAATTTAAATTAGTAATTCTCAATTCTTACTGTAATGCTCTGCTTAATCTTAGGGTTTAGCTTACTGTTAATTATCAAGTTTGATGGCAAGAGTAAAGTCGTAAAGAGCTCTCTAAAAATCGCCCATACCTTAGTAGCATCGACCACGCCAATGATAAGCTGCTGCCATGTCTAAAAACTATAAATATATTTAAATTCGAACTAGGATCTTTATTGCAAGCCTCAGAAAAACACTGAAATGCAGTTTCTAAATTCTGCTAAACGTTACCCTTTCCCATAAAATATTTTTTTCCATCATTGAATAACTTTTTAGCCTATGGTAAAAAACTTAAATCAAGATAATAAGGCTACCTCTGCTGGATTGCCTGTGCTCTCACCACCTATAGCTTTAACCTTTTGTGCTCTAGCATTATTTCCTTGTTTTGAATTGCCTCCATTGGCAGTACCAGGTTTCTTACTTGCTGAAGCTTTCATACTTTTTTATAATTCAATTAAAATATATTCATTTGGATCAATCAAGTTCTTATAATTGTTCTTAATATCCCGACAATCATTTGATTTTCCCGACAGATATTTTGGGGTTTTGGGGTTTTGGGG